ACGGTAACTGCAGTGACATCTGCCGCATGCCGCAAGGGAGAATGCCGCGATAGGGGAGAAGTTCCGTTACCCCCATCTGCTCGAAAGTAAAGCTTTCTACAGATCAAAATCAAATATACTAATCTTCTGATAATATATTGAGCCTTTCAGTCCTTTTTTTTCACACTTTTTCTGTGGGCAATTTCCAGGAACGTAATATGCTGCTCTTCCTATTCTATAATGTATATGCTACACTTTTCTGCGAGTGAGGCGTTCAAATATGCAATATTTGCTACAGCGTTTTGCAGGGTCAAAAGAAATAGTTCTTTGATGACTCTAGAAAATCCAAATCTGGTCAGATTAGTCCTTCCATATTGAATAGCACTTATTCGACTCCCTTCCGGTATCAGGGTCCAATTTGAATAATTGGCTGCTTTCATAGTCCGCCGGCCGGCGGACTATGAAACCAGCCATTGTCTCTTTCAAAGACGTTATGAAACGAAGACTGTGGAATTCAGTGATTCCATGCTCACAGATGCTCCAGTGCCATTCAACCCACTTCAAAAAGTTGCAGAACGGGAACGGTCAAAAGGAGGTTGGATTCAAGTTTTGATCTCCAAACCTTGCACACGACAATAGCGACACTTCCCATCGCCGCATGTTCTGTCCTCGAAGCTCCATTTAATTCTATACATAACTTAAAACTTTTTATTCATTTTTTCGAGTGTCGTTCAACCATATCTCTAGCATTAAGTTAATCTACCAAGAGGTTTCAACATCATAGTGGTCCATCTGTCAACGGATGTTAATGGGGGAGGGGGGCCGAGGAGAAGCAGCGGTCAGCGCTAGGAGAGAGTGTGCTATTCGAAGAGCGATGCGATGCCGCGCGATCGATGCAAAGACAGCAAGCCTCCAGCCATATGTAAATTTCACGGTTTCACACTCGATCACTCGTTCTACAATTTATTCTTACCACTAATAAAGTTCGGTTATGATTACCGACACATCTTCTTCTTATTGAACGATTCTGGAGATAAATTCCTCAATGTTTGCGAAGAACTCCTGGAGGTAAATTTCTCGGTATCGCGTAAAGAAGGTTGGTCATTTTCGAGAAAATCTTTATGCCGATGGTGTACTCGGGGAATCACTTTGCATAAATGTTTCTGTTGCTGGGGTTTGCTCAACCACACGTATTTGGTAAGTTGCAAGACAAATAGTAAGATAGTTGGCGAAACTCTTCTGTTAAAATTCAGTCTGTAAGTCCTTGATTTGTAATCTCTGCTCTGAGAAGAAAATATTGGTTTTGTCTCACAAGAGAACAAATCTTCATTTTTAACCTTTATCTAAAGAGCAAACTTCCCTGCTCGGCTCGTTCGGCAATCTATTTGCTCAACTTATCATCGAGACGTGTGTACACACCACAGAAAACTGCTCCAATCGTTTCCCTTTTATTCCAATTGTTTCTGTGGTAAAACGTCGCCAAAGCGCGAATCGTTCTGATGAGTTTTCACCTCAATGCTGTTTTTGATGCTTTTGTAGAAACGACCACTGAAAAAAAAAAGAAAACTTTCTATTGAGCTGCATTGTGGGGTCGGAAATGAGTTTTTGATAGCTACTTAAATTATATGGATTGACATCACTTCACCGTATGCATGGACTGCGTAATTTCTTCGATTTTGGAATTTTGTTATTTTATGTGATTTAGAGCCTTAATAATGTAGTACTACCAAGAAGATTTCATTAATCAACATCTATATTTCGATTATAGACATATCTTATCATTCGCTTCTGCATGCCATTACCAGGGCAATCGAGGATAAATGTTTTTTTTTCTGATAGTCGTCACAGATAGTAACATCATCCCCTTTTCTCTC